TATCCAGAGAGGAAAAACACCAACACCATATTTTCTCCAATACCAACTGTGGCATGCTTCCTAGTAATGGTTATATTTAAAGGAAAATTCATACCCTGTGCTCGAAGCTGGACTAGTTCTTCATTAAGGGAATCTACAGATTCTTCCAGTTGCCTCTTTTTTTGTTCCACATTCTGAAGATACTCTGTTAGTGACTTGATCTTTGCTTCATGCTTTCAGAATGAACAGATATTGATTTATTTATTTATATGTAAACTAGGTATATTCAAATGAAGCTGCATGAAAAGTTTAAGAGCTCTTTGTGTTTTTAAAAAGGGCAAATAAACCTCTCAACAAAATGCAGTCAACTTCCTATTTCTAAACCAAGTCTTATCTGTGTAAATAGATTATCCATGTTGCAGTATCTGGGGTCATAATCCACATATTGGATTTAAGTAAATATCATTATCATACTCAATCTTGTGGCTCCCACAAATGCGGCAATGGGACAAGAAAGGTAGTTGTTCATTTTTTCTTTTACTCTTATTAAACATTCCACAAATAAATTAGAAGTCCTAGAGCAGAGCTAAAAAAAAACATATTGGTGATCAATAGAAATAGGGGAGCAAAGGTTTGATCACATGAGTTTGGAAAGTTGAAAAAGCATGTTAGAAAAGTTTAACAACATTCATATTAAACTAGCCTTTGATATAGTAGAATGTTTCAATTCGCTCAATTCTAGTTGTGATAATTTTATGTTGCGTCTACTTCCTGACATTTCCCTCTCCCTTTTCAATTTTGCCTCAAGAGGGCAGAGTGCTGCTGATGAAGCCACTGCTTCTGCACATTAAAAGAAAAGTGTGTAACCTCCCCCCACAGAGCTGAAAGAATGTCAGAGCATCCCATTATAACACTGAAACTAATGTTTTATATTTTATAAACGTTAAATAGAGGAAACAGATTTTTAGGCTAGAAAACTTCTCTCAACATTGAGAGAGCCCAAACTACTCAACTGTGCTTACTGCAACAACACTAAGTTCAAGATCTACAATCTTCTTGGTTCCCTTGGTTATATTAGGAGTAATATCTTAAAAAAAAAAGAGATCTAAACACTTTAGTGTGATACCCAAGTTCAAAATGGAGACTGATGAATACAAAAATTAAGCATTCATCTGAACAAATGTCTGACTTCCTACTTATTCTAAAGGCCTCTGAACTACTAGTTTCAAAATTATAAGCTATAGATTAACTTATCTACAGATCTGTAAGACGACAACCAAACACAGGAATCAAATATCAAAAAAGGGAGCTACACTACCACATTACCTGTGAGATACGAAGCTGACAAGCAGCCAGCTCTTTTTCATTTTCCTCCATTTTTTTGTTGCTTTCAGTTTGCGTGCCTTCTAATTGTTTGCACCGCTTTACCATTGTTTTCACTTCTGATTTCATTTTGCTAATGTATAGTCTTGCCACTGTGAATTCCTCATCTATCATACCAGTTCCTTCAGGCTGCTGAAAGGAAAGTTTGGATAAAAATATTAATTCTACAAAGACTTAATTAAAAACAGAGTATCAGCCAGAAAACAGTGCCCAACATACAACAACCATTAGGTGGCTAGCTTCAGACTATGTTTAAATGATTACTTTTTTTAATCTTTTATTATATTTCAACCAAATTCAGACCAGAAAACAGCTTCTGATGCTGTTTCCCTTGGTAGATCAAAACATTTATATTTTCCGTAATACTTCCTGTCCATCAAGTAAGTCTGCTTGCCAGTATGGACTGTCTCCATATAGATAATGACTTTGTATTTTTAATAAATAGTACATTTAAACAAGCAATCTTTGCCAAAAAAGCCAAACTCAATTAATAAAAAATGCTTCTCTCAAGCATTTCTAACTTGTTTGACCTTCTCCCACAACCATAACTGAAAACACGGAGAATGCCTAGCTGTATAGCCAGGGTAATTATAAAGCATTTTTACTATGCTGAAAATACAAACAATAAAGCACTTCATAATAGCTACAGAGCATATGAATTTATCATGCTAGTATATTTGGGGTATATATGTTCCCTACCTTCACATCATTATTTCCAACTGCAATTCCTATTTCTGCAAGATCTTTCAGTAAGGAGGCCATCATCTCTGTTGCTCGTTTTTTCTGGTGGTTGGTCATTTCTTTTAGTTTCTGAAGCTCTGCATCTATACTGGCTAAAGTTACCTAAACAAAGGAAATATCTAAAGTTAGATTTTACCAATTTATATAGGAATATTTTTCTCATTTTCTTCGAGAAACCTCAAAACATGCTTAACGGTGATCTTAAAACAATTACCAAAACTACAAGCCATGGTTTAACAACAATATTAAAAAACCAACACCACCCGTTTTTGCTGGTTATAAAAGGACCTAAAGAAGTAGGAAGATGCAAGTATACTTTCCCCCATTACACTTTAAAAAAAAAGATTTGTAAAAACTGTTTACTATATTATATATTTAGTTTTGTATCTCAGTGATTCTAAGGCTCCAAAAGCAGATTAATATATTAAACCCAAGGATTTCTACTAGGATGTTGTTACAGTCTTGATTCACAGTCACAATATGACTATTTAAGGCCTACTCAAGTCTTCTATATCTGATAGGGCTGTGCAAAATTTTGCTGAATGTTTTGTTCTGAAGCTGTTTTGACGTGTTTCAAGCTCGAAACAGTGAACTAGAAACAAAACAAAAGGCTTTAAAACAGTTTCAAAATGAAATAAGGGCACTCAAAATGTCTCAAGTTTCAAAGTAGCCTGGTGGTGGGAGGCAGGAGAGAGCCAGGGCTGCACTCCGCCTCCTGCCACTGGGCTGAGCTCCGTGGAGCTGGTGGAGCCGGTCAGAGCGCAGCCTTGGCTCTCCCCCACCTCCTGCCACCGGATGCACTCTGACCAGCTCCACCAGCCCCACAGAGCTGAGCCTGGTGGCAGGAGGCGGGGGAGAGCCACTGGCCAGGGCTGTGCTCCGAGAGGCTCCACCACTGACTCTTCTGCCACCAGGTTGAGCTCCATGGGGCTGGCAGAGCTGGTCAGAGTGCAGCCTGGCAGCAGGAAGCAAGGAGAGCCAGGGCTGCGCTCCAAGCAGCTCCACCAGCCCCATGGAAGTCACCCTACCCTCCCAGGGCTGCCGGACTCTGCCCAGGGGCACAGGCCCCCAGATCTGTGGCGGATGACAGGAGGCTGCCTGTGGCCAGCGGCAGCACCAGTCTTCCTGGCACTGGGCGCAGGCTGCACTCAGCGCTGGTCCCAGGTGGCAGCAGCAGCCTCCTGTCATCCCAAGTGCAGATCCAGGGGCCTGCACCCCCGGGAGTCATCCAGCACAGCCCCACAACCCTCCTGAGAGTGCAGGCCCCCAAATCTGCACACGGGATGACAGAAGGCTGCTGCTGCTGGCAAGTGACACAAGTGTTGCTTGTCAGCACCTTGAGGTGAAGTTTCCCAGAAACCCTTGCACTTATCTCCTTGAAACTTGGCAGGCTTCATGCCCTCGGAAGGGGCTATCATCCCTGCAAATTTCATCCAAATCAGGCATGAAACAACAAAGCTATTGGCATTTTCATAATTCTCCATTATAACCTGCGGGTCAAATGTTGAAACGTGTCGAATCAGTAAAACAGTTTTAGCTAAATGAAATGGAACAGTGCTCCAAAACTAAACAAAATGGCAAAACAAAACACTGTCTCTTCGAAGTGGCAAAACAGAAGTCATAGATTCATAGATGCTAGGGTCGGAAGGGACCTCAACAGATCGAGTCCAACCCCCTGCCTAGGCATGAAAGAGTGCTGGGGTCAGATGACTCCAGCCAGATGCCTATCCAGCCTTCTCTTAAAGACACCCCAAGGTAGGGGAGAGCACCACCTCCCTTGGAAGCCAATTCCAAATTTTGGCCACCCCTACCATGAAGAAGTTTTTCCTGATATCTAGCCTAAATCTGCTCTCTGTCAGTTTGTGACATTGCTCCTTGTTATCCCAAGAGGTGCCCTGGTGAACAGAACATCTCCAATCCCCCTAATGAATTTGTAGACAGTCACGAGATCATCCCTTAGCCTTCTCTTGCAGAAGCTGAAAAGGTCCAGGTCCCTCACTCTCTCCTCACAGGGCTTGTCCTGTAAGCCCTAACCATATGAGTGGCCCTACTCTGGACCTTCGAGTCTATCAACACCCTTCTTGAAGTATGGCACCCAAAACTGGATGCAGTACTCCAACTGCGGTCTGATCAATGCCGCATAGAGGAGCAGTATCACCTCCTTGGATCCATTATCGTGCATCAGCAGATGCATGACAAAAGTGCAGTTAGCTTTGCTGATCATTTCACCACACTGATGACTCATGCTCATCTTGGAGTCCGCTACGACTCCGAGATCCCTTTCTGCTGCTGTGAGGATCACTTCTCAGCCAGTAGATGTGCTGGATATTTTTGCACCCTAGGTGCGACACTCTGCACTTTTCCTTGTTGTACTGCATCCTATTGTGCACTATCCACTTTTCTAACTTGTCCAGGTCTGCCTGCAATCGTCCCCTACCCTCCTGTGTGCGCACTTCACCCCACAATTTAGTATCATCCACAAACTCAGACAGAGTACACTTCACACCCACATCCAAGTCACTGATGAAGATATTGAAGAGTACAGGTCCAAGGACTGAACCCTGAGGGACCCCACTACCCACATCTTTCTAGGTCGATACCGACCTGTCTACCACCACACTCTGGGTGCAACTGCTAAGCCAATTTGCTACCCACCAGACGGTGTAAACATCTGTCACAGCCTCCTAATTTAGTTATGAGAATAGGATGAGATACTGTATTGAAGGCTTTGCTAAAGTCCAAGAAAACAACATCCACCTCCACTCCTGCATCTGAGCATTTTGTGACCATCATAAAACAAAACTAGATTGGTCAGGCATGATCTACCTGCTACAAATCCATGCTGGTTTCCCTGCTGCATTATTTTTCCCACTGGATTCCCACAAATATGATCCTTCATAATCTTTTCAAAGACCTTTCCAAGGATGGAGGTAAGAGTGACTGGCCTATAAAAGTTACTTGGATCCTCCTTCCTCCCCTTCTTGAAAATAGGGACCACATTGGCCCTTTTCCAGTCCTCCGGCACCTGACCCAATTGCCACGAAAAGGAACAGTGCTGTTTCACACAGCCCTAATATCTGACAAGCATCCAAAGAACAGACTAATGCCATGAGTATAAAGAACAAACAGACAGAATTAGAATATCTAAAACCCTACAGGAAAATTTCTCCAGTAAAGAGACGAGGCAAGATTTTAACAATAATTGTTTCCAAAGACACTAAAGTGCAAGGTTGTGAGTATAAGATAGCCCCAGGAATAAAAAGAGGGAAAAAAAGCGTAAATCCTCACTTCTGCCCAGTGCCACAGAAAACACATGCTTAGAGGGCTTCTTCCTAATACAACTGAAGTAGAAAGTCTGGTGGAATCAATCATGCATGTATTCAATATAATCAAGAGTAAGAGGATCAAGTCCCTCCAAGGACCCTTAATTAGTTTCTTCCAAGGAAAGGAGGGTAGGAGGCAGATGCTACTTTCTTTTGAACAATTTTTTGTTATTATTCTAAAACAACCTGAACCACCCCTGGCTTCCACTAGAAAAGTTGCTTTAATCTTACAGCAAGTATTTTTAAGAAGGCCCTGGTGCTTGAGGATACATACTCTTGAATACTTACCACAATCACGTGAACCATCGTATAACGGTAGTTAGAAACTAATACATTATCAAGGGAATCTTGCTTCTGATGAGTGTCCTGGTCCACACCATAACATTAACCATGGTCACTCTTTTATACAAAAAACAACAACAACCTGCAACTTCTCTCAGTCTATACTGATATTTTAGCTAGGAAGACCGATGAGACCCACTGCAATCAACAGGAGTGGACATTTAAAAAGTGAGGGCCAGAGCTACAAAGATATTTAACATCGCTGGCGCTCAGCCCTGAATTAGAGTGCATTTCAGCACTTTATCAGAGACCCTACCAGCTTCAGTGCGTAGCACAAAAGGAAGCCTTTGCTATTCTAAACAAAATACTTTCTGTAACAGAGGGGCCTGTCACATTTTACCAACTACTTCTGAATATAGCACATGGGTCCTTCCTTTGACAAGGGTCTCCATTCTTGGTATCTCCATCAAAGCCCTTGCAACTCTGAGACAATATCCAACTCTAAGGGTGTGGAATAAAACTACCTTTGAAATAAACCAGAGAAATGAAGGATCATTGTGTGAGGCATTCATAGTTCTTGTCCAACTAAATATACACTGAATTCCCTAGCAGCCTTTACACACAAAAAAACCTGAAGCCACTCAATACCAATTTTAGCAGTAAATACAAAGCTACATACTACTGAAGAAGCAAAGGCAAAATGAATTCTAAGAAAGTCTTTAAAAACTGAATCAACCTTGGGAAAAGGTATTTTAGCCAAAGACTAAAACATGAAAGGGGAGTTTGGTTTGTTTGATCAAAATCCAATGCTGAAAAACAGGAGAACTTCCAATGACTTTCAAATGACAGAAAGGAAAGGGCAGCATCTTTTTATTTCTATCAACACACTTTGAAGGCTGCTCCATTTGAGCTGTTATATCTGCCACCAGTAGATGACAGATTGTACTGAATTAGAAGGGGGGGGGGAATTTACTGTGGATTAGCTTGGGGGTTTCAAATTCATCCAGCCCCGCAGGCTGAATGAGTGTCACTGGGCCAGTCTGTGGGCTGGACCAGATCGACTCCGTCTCTGTGCATGTTGCCCCCAGGGCATTTGCTATCCAAAGCATGTGGGCTAGACCCAACAGTGCAGGCAGCTCAAGGGGGTCAGTCCAGGGCACTGTATACAGCCCATGCCCTGGAGTCCTCATGCTGTGCCATGAAAATACACACCATGCACTGGGCCTGGGGGCCACATGCACAGCCAACACTGGGGCCAGTACAGACTGCACGTGGCTGGCCCGAGTGCTGCATATGGCAGAGATCTGGGGTGCAGCCTGCATGCAGCCCCATGCCAGCCCTCCCATACTGTGCACAGTGCACGTGCTCAGTCCAGCCCTGTGTAGCACGCACTGGCCTCAAGGTTCACTATGCATGCAGCCCACAGCATGCAGCCTGGACTTAACACTGCATGTGCCATAGGGGATCCAAGGCACAGGCTACATTGCAGCATTCTGTGCTGGATGCAGTACACATGGCACTGGGTTCAGCCTGGGAAGCGCATGGAGTGCATGGTGCAGTGCCCAGCATAGGGGGTCCAGGTCCCACAGGCCAGATAAGGCCAGCAAGCCATATGTTTGACATTTCTGGATTAGCTGATCTACAATAAACTGTTCCACGTGCCCACTGTAACTCCAATTATTACGAGAACTTGCAGCAATATAGCAATTGCCTTATTTATGAGTCAACTACCCGAGCTTAGCTTCCACTTAGCATGGGAGAGTGGACACATGATTACCATGGTTCTGCTGATGTGTGGCGAGCCCCTTCCCCCATTCCCAGTCTTTCAACAGGGGATAATGTGTTAATTTGCCCATATCAGCAAATGGGTCTCCAAGACCTCAAGATGAGAAAGGCAGACTTCACTTAAAACTCAAATCATACTGTTACTACTATTAACTTTATATAGGCAATTCAGATTTAACTTGATTTGGGGAAACTGACACCTAGCACTTAAGGTGTCTGAACTTGGTGATCTGTCTAATCTGGTTGGCTGCTGCAGTGACAGGATTAAGTCTCCTTCCTAATGCAAACTGCACTGTTATTAACTACTGATTATTCAAAAAGGCACCTCCAGCAAGACTCCAAAAGGAAAGAAAAAAAAAAAAGATATGGATGACTGATGACCTAGAAAATACTATTTTCTGGGTTTTTTCAAATGGAATGGAGCAAGCTTCATGTTTTATATGCCAACATTTGACTCAAATAATCAAATCAGAATGCTAAATTTTGAACTAGAAAGACTGCGAGGTTCATATTAGAGCTTTTCTATTTTCTGGCATTGAGCTTAAAAGTAAGAAAGCAGTTGGAAAAACAACAGACGTGTTCTAGCCCAAAGAAAAAGCAGACATTTGTAATTCCCAGCTCCAGTTTCCTACCGATTTCTGATTGAGTTCATCACTAAGCAGCTCATATTCTTTTGCTTTGTCTTCTACTTCCTGAGATTTCTGATCATAATTGACAGCAAGTTCTTCAAGGGCTTGTAGCACTTCTTTCACTTCCTCTTTAGAGGCATCATTTTCAGCCTGGAGACGATTCAACTCAGCTTGCATATTATCTTGGTCCCGTCTGGTAGATGCAAGCAGCTATGACATTGATAAAAATTTAAACACAGATCACTGCTTCAATAAAAAACTGAGACAACTGCAAGTGAGACTCCAAACTTACTGAAAGAAGTTTCTTTTAGAAAATAAACCTAGACCTAGGATTTGCACTTTGTCTGCAATGTTTAAATAGCAGTCATTGTATTAGAGTATAAACAGGATTCTAACCAACAGGTGTTTAAACTATTTGTCAGTAACAAGGACAAGACTCCTTGTATTTTTATATCCAATAATCACTGAAGAAACAAGTTATTTTATTTAACTGTTACAAAAAGATTAGATGAACAAGAAGCTGAAGTTCACAACAGATATTTCCAATTACTTCTTTTTTTAAACAAAGCTTCTAAACCATTAGCACTATTTGCACTTTTGAAAAGTGGCTTCACCGGGTCGTAGAACTTCATGCCCAAGTATTTTAATATTTTAGTTGCTAAATGGGCATGCCCAAGGAAAATGGAGGTTTTTTTCAAAATAATACTGAAGCGCTCAACCATTTTCTAAACACATGGTCAAGGGCATCTTATACAGAGACATGCATAAAAGGAAACAAATCAATTTTATTCTCTAGGAGAGCTGGACAAGGTTGCCAATATGCTCTTTTCTCTGCTGTCTGAATATAAAATTAAGGAATAATTTAGTAACTGAATGAGGTAAGATTGCAAAACATACTGCAAAAAGCTTTTGCATGCAGACAGCAATATTAATCTATATTTATCCTACTTACAAAATCAGTCAAAATGAAGGTATTAAAAAAGCTTTCATTTCTATGGCAAATTTACTCTGCCAGAACTGAATGGAAAAGTATGTTGCTTCATAAAAAGAGACCTTTTCTGCAATACTTTAGACTGTGCATTCTAGCAAGCTTAGATCATGCAGCTGTCCCCTCCTTAGGTACCATACTCTTAATGAGCTGGAAGACTGAAAAAATAAGAGTGCTTAAGATCAAATGAACAAACTAAAATTTATTATAACATCCTGTGTTCCTTTAGGAAAAGGAAGGCATGTCAAGTGGTGAGCACTGAGAAATTGAGAAGTTAGCTTTTGACTGTAAAACAGTAAAAAAAAAGTCTGTGATACAATAAGAAACAAAATTTGCTCATAGAAACATCATCCCGAGAAGTAAATTATGTTTAACATCCCTAAATTTTAGTACCAAATAAGAAGTCCAATACAAAGATATGCAGTAACAAAATTTACCTCTTCCTGATCCAACATTTGTGTCTTCAGCTTTTCTACTAACTGGCTCTGCTGATTAATTTCTTCATCCTGTAGTTCAAAAACACAGTCCCGTCAAGACATATTGAATCGAACATCACACAAAATTTCAAATGCATGCTAGGAATCAATTATTTAAAAAGTTTCCTGTTCAGTAACAATCAAATGAAGAACCAGTGATCCAAATAATCAATTGTGCATGTGATTTTTCATGGTAGGCTTCTAGCTTTGTGTGTTTGTAGAACATTACACAGAACCCAAAAGAAAAATCCTGTTTTGATGTACCGTGTTTGGAATTTGAAGAGCTGAAAAGTTTTCCTCAACTCCCAACTACACTACTTGGGATAAAAAAAATCTTTTTTCCGAGACAGTTTAGTACTGTTGTTTAAAGTTAAATTAAATGGCATATTTAAATTGTAATTGTGTGTGCACATGCTAAAGATGCTACTAAATTCCCTCTACTCTCCTTATACTGGCCTGTTTTGTTGTTGTTGTTTCAACTTACTCCCCAAGCTCTACCCTGTTTTATTGTTTTGTTCATTCATGCAACCCCAAGTCCCTGCCGAAATTGCGAAGAACAGCAATTAGTCTCAAATGAAACTGTGCTTTCTTGTGTCCAGTCCCTATGGATTAAAAAGCCAGACATTACATGGATTGAAAGTACCCATCGTCTTAAATGATAGTCTTGTACCAGTACTACCAGATTTGTAAAATGGAAATACCAAATTGGAACCTCAAAATCATACTTAAATAAAACAAACAAAAAACTATACCACAGTATCTTTAAGATGTTTGCATCCTTAATATGTAATCATATTGCCAAAAGGCAAGAAATATTTATAATTCCATTCATTGCAACCTCCTTGAACTTTGATTGTGCAGCAGAAGTTAGCTGAGAGAGATCATTCTCTATTCTCTATTGCTACACACTGGTTGCCAGAAGAACAACCATGTGTGTATAACACTTCTCTGAATTATTACACACAGATGTGACAATACGAAGAAAAATGAAGGTCATCTGAACATGGAGAATTGATCAAATATGAAAAAAAGCTCTCAAATACAAGCGCTCTTTGGATTTTTCTGAATTGTTGTACATTCTGGCCACAGATCAATTTGTACGGGGGTCAAGCTTACTGTACAAATGCAAATCAGCACAATGTGTCAACAATGGTCCCTACTGACAAGTGAAGAATAGTCAGAATTAAGTATTAATGCCCCATGTTTTCAAAACAGCTCTTAGATTTTAAGAGAATGACATACCTTATCATCAAGTTGTTTATACAGTTTAGCAATTTCTTCCTCACACTTTCTTCTCTCAGCATCAGTAAAACTGCCAGTCACTCCAATTGTGGCAGCTGGTTTATCATTAGTGATAGTAATATCCTTATCCACTGCAAAAGCTTCCAAGTTGGCTTTTTCTTTGTCAAACTGCTCATCAACTGGTACAGTCTCCCCTTAAATAATAATAATAATAATAAAAAAAAGTATAAGTATACTTTGTTATCAGATCACTTATGGAACTCTTTCACAGAATAAAATAACACTGAAAAATATCAGATGCTGTATTTTCTCCGTACAGCCAGCACCAAACCAACTGGTGGAACAAACAGAAATGTGCGTGAAATAGGGCTGCCCATGGGTCTAGAAACTCTGGCAGAGGAGTGGTGGCAAAACTAACTGTCAATATTCAAAAAGCATACTGGCGGTGGAAGCAGGGGGCAGGGACAAAGGAGGAGTACACCTCCCTCACCTGAGCTTGTAGGGATTTGTTAAGGAAGGCTAAAGCAGTACTGGAGCTTATATTAGCTTCTGGGATTAAGGATAACAAAGAGTCCTTCTTCAAGTATATAGGTAGCAAGAAGAATTCTTGGGGTAACATTGGATCCCTGTGAGGCAGGGCAGGGCAGTTAGTGACGGACGTGCGAGAGAAGGCAGAACTCTTCAACAAGTTCTTTGCCTCCGTGTTCCTGTCTGCTGACAATGGGGTGCTCTCCAGTGATAGCGTACAGAGGCCCAGGAAGGATGCGAGTCCCCCAACTGTTAGTTCAGACCTAGTTAAGGACTACCTGGAGGGCTTAGATGTGTCCAAGTCGGCAGGCCCGGATGACCTTCATCCGCGTGTGCTGAGGGAATTGGGTGGTGTCATTGCGGAGCCATTGGCATGGCTGTTTGAGGACTCCTGGTGCTCGGGCCAAGTCCCTGAGGACTGGCAAAGGGCCAATGTGGTCCCTATCTTCAAGAAGGGGAGGAAGGAAGAGCCTGGCAACTACAGACCAGTCAGCCTCACTTCTATCCTGGGGAAGGTCTTTGAAAAAATTATCAAGGGCCACATTTGTGAGAGCCCTGCAGGGGAAGTGATGTTGAGGGGTAACCAGCATGGGTTCGTGCAAGGCCGATCCTGCCTGACTAACCTGGTCTCTTTCTATGACCAGGTAACAAAGAGCTTAGATGTGAAGGAGGAAGTCGATGTCATCTTCTTGGACTTCCAGAAGGCCTTCGACACAGTGTCCCACCCAATTCTGGTGGGCAAGCTGAGGGACTGTGGCATTGATGAATGCACAGTCACATGGGTGGCAAACTGGCTCCAGGGCCGCACCCAGAGGGTGGTGGTGGACAGGTCTAAGTCGACCTGGGAGGGTGTGGGCAGCAGAGTCCCCCAGGGCTTGGTCCTTGGGTGGGTGCTGTTCAACATCCTCATTAGTGACCTGGATGAGGGTGTGGAAAGCACCCTGTTCAAATTCACTTTACCCCACAGCTTGGTGTCATCAGCGAATACACCGGCAGCTTGGGACCACATCCAGGCAGACCTGGATAGGTTAGAGAAGTGGGCGGATCTGAACAGGATGCGGTTCAACAAGGACAAGTGCAGGGTGCTGCACCTGGGGAGAGGGAACCAGCATTATGGTTATAGGTTAGGGGCTGACCCTCTCAGCCACAGAGGCAGAGAGGGATCTTGGAGTCAGGATTGACTCCAGGATGAATACGAGTCGCCAATGCGACGAAGCAATAGGCAGAGCCAACCGCACCCTGTCATGCATCAACAGGGGCATCACTAACAGGTCCAGACAGGTCTTACTCCCCCTCTATGCGGTGCTGGTCAGGCCGCAGCTGGAGTACTGTGTCCAGTTCTGGGCACCGCACTTCAAGAGGGACGTGGAGAACCTGGAGAGGGTCCAGAGGAGGGCCACTCGTATGGTTGAGGGCCTCCGTGGCCAGCCCTACGAGGAGAGGCTGAGGGACCTGAATTGCTTCAGTCTCCACAAGAGGAAACTGAGGGGGGATCTTGTAGCTGCCTACAACCTTATCAGGGGCAACCAACAGGGACTTGGGGAAAGTCTGTTTACCAGGGGCCCCCTTGGAGTCACTAGGAACAATGGCCACAAGCTGAGGGAGGATAGGTTTAGGTTAGTTATTAGGAAGAACTGTAAGAGTGGCCAGAGCCTGGAATAGGCTTCCCAGAGAGGTGGTGCTCTCACCTTCCCTGGAAATCTTCAAGAGGAGACTGGATAGGCACCTGGCTGGGGTCTTATGACCCCACCCACCCCCAGTGCTCCTTCCTGCCCATGGCAGGGGGTCAGACTCAATGATCTGTCTAGGTCCCTTCTGACTCATTGATTCTATGATGGCTTGGGGAGCCACAGCAATTCATGCTGCCTCTGCTCCACCACCACCACCACCACATTTCCAGACCCATGGGGAATCCCCCAGCCAAACAACATGGGCCAGTGCACAGAACCAAGCCCACTGCACTGAAGAGAGGGAGAGCTGGCAAATCTATGGGCATGGCAGCAGGCTCAGGAGCAGGCTTAGCTTAGCTTCCTAGCTGCTTACTATTCAGATACTTGGATACCTTACCCAAGATAAGATCCTGTTCTTTGAAAATGTAGCATAAAAGGGAAAGGAGGTACATGCAAGAAGATACAGTATTTTCCAGTTGTGGCAGATATGTTGTTTAAACATTTTCGAAGTATTTCATAGATTTAAGGCAAAGAGAGACCATTACATTATCCAGCTTGACAACCTGTCTCTGTCACTAACTTTTACTTAGTTATCCTGCTTTCAGCCTAATAACTTTCTGGAAGATGTGCTTCAAATGAAAGACATTCAGCTCTGAAAAACATCAAGAGACTGAGAATCTATTAAATTCCCTTGATAATCTACTCCAACAGTCACCATTGCTATTAAAATTGTGCTTATTTCTTATTTCAGTGTGTCTGGTTTCAGCCAAATAGCTTTCAGCAATTGTTGACATCACCTAATCTCTTAAAATTCTTAGATGACACCAACCCTCCTGGAACTTCACTATAAAAACCCCTTTTTTCAGGTTGCCATCTTCCAGGATACAATCCTCTGTTTTGTATTTATGGCCTAGGTTTCTAAATGAATACAACTTTGTATTTAGTGGTATTTTGTTAGAACAGGCCTAACCCTTAGAGGAAATCCAGACTGCTCTTATGATCACCATCGTCATAAGTTACAATGTCACAGAGTTGATATAAATAATCAGTAGCAGTTTTATGTTTAGTTCGAGATTCCTAGCATCAATCCCTGCAATCTTCTACTAACTACTACTTCTGAGATGTGTCTATTGGTTCTTAATCTGTTTAAGTAGTGCTAATCAGGCACTCCAGGAGCTACTGAAATGAAAAAAATGCAACTAACTGAATTTTCATGTACTACTAACTTGCCTGTAAGAAATTGGTTCCACATTAAAACTGATTACACTATTTTATGGTAGTATTTAAATAAACTAGAGGGCAAAATGACTAAAAGATTTTTAAGGCTGAAGCTTTTTATCAAGTTTAGGCACCTATAACTAATATAAAACACCTAAAACTTTGGGAAACAATATAAAAATGTTGATACATTAGACTTTAAAAAAAAAAAATCCCTTTTTTGCATAACAAAAGCTACAAACAAGCTCCTCACCATTGCGCCATCTGTTGAGCTCATTTTCAAGCCACTGTATGGTGTTACGTAGGGTCTTGTTTCTTTCTTTTTCTCTTTCATACTTCTTTTTCCATTGTTCTGCAGTCAGTTCCACATTGACACAGACTGTGTTCTTAATAGTCTTGGCTCTGGAAAGAAAGATTTATTAGTGAGCCATCCTGGACCAGTCAGATATAAAGATAGTATTTTAACCTGCACATCAGACAAGCAATTGATTAAATACATCATGCATCAGGAATACTAAATTTGAATGTTCATACTCACAATTGCTTATACTCACAATATGCATTAGTTACTTGAGGTTTTATACAAGACAACTAGGAAGTATAACAAAGTCATTCAATACCAAGTCCACACTGCCCTAATTTTCTTCTACCATCTACATACATTCAGGATGCTAACTAGTTAGTGGGAATAATGCTAATACCAGATATTTACAAAATTGAAATCCATATGTAATGCACAAATTGTTCTAAAGCCGTTTCTCTTTTTTTGTTTCATCTTTTGGACAGAATGAGGGATTTAAGCTAAGAACTGTCTTTAAAAATAAATAAATAAGTTAAAAGGAGAGGATGTGCGCCCTGGCAAGCCATCTGAAACTCACCAATTCTCTCATGTCATCTAAAATATATTCCAATCTCCATTCTAAGATTATTATAAAACCCTGAACTCCAGTAATGTTAGTTTCTTATGCCTCTATACCATCTCCTACTCTTCAAAACTGATATGCAATGCACGTAAACTTTTGCTGGATTTAAACTTAAGTTATAACCTGCTCCATGAATTTTGTGCGTAGCCCATCCAGGAAGAGCTGTGCTTCCTGGCAGTGGCTGAACTTAGCTGAAAACCTCCGAAGTAAGCAAAAGACAAAAAAATAGAAGTTCTTAACCAGGGCTGCTGTTAAATTCAAGAGAGCTGGGGAAGGATACCCTGACTAAAAGGGTTAAGAACGACTGGCCTAAGGCTCTGGGCAAACATACATTTTAACCACTTTGAAAAAAGGAGGAAGAAGCTGGTGCTGCTCAACAATAGGCCAGCTTTTATGTTACTGTTGCATCTGCATTCTCCCACAGTTGATACGCAAGTTAAATAAGTCCCTGTAACTAACCCAAAAGGTTTTACTGCACTTGCATACAGGCATAACAGTTACAGCACAACAGCTTACACTGGTATCATTTGATACTGATACAATTTATGTCACTCTCCTGGGAAGGTCAGCACCTAAACTCTGTTGAGGGGCAAGAGTTCAAACACAGCCTTGTGGATACCATTTCCTACTGATATCTGTAAGTACTTTCCTAATTAATGTTCCACTACTCTGGAGGTACTTAATGCTTTCCAGTGCCTGTATTAGAATTAGGGGTGTGCGAAGAGGGCCATGTTCGATTTGGATTTGGCACAATTCAGGGGACAGTGATTCAATTAGTTGATTCGGATTACTGTCCCGATTCAGATTTGGCCGAATCAAAGATTTGGCCAGACACAGCTTTAAATGTTTTTTCTACATACCTTGAGGTACCAGGCATGGCTCATGAAAGCTGAGATGGTGGGACGGATAGAGCATCTCATGGGGGGGAGGGCGCCTTGCATGCTCAGCGGTGGACCTGGAAGTGGACCAGAAATATTTCTGGTCCACTTCCGGGTCTGCCACCAAGCGCACAGTGGACCCACCCCCCCCCCCGGCTCAACAATCGGCCACAGGGGTCCCCAGGTGCCCCCCAGACCCAGGAGGCACTGGTCACTGAGCTGGGAGGTGGGGGTTCCCCACGTGCTCTGCGGCAGACCCAGAAGTAGACCAGAAGTGCTTCTGGTCCACTTCCAGGTCCGCTGCCAAGCATGCCGAGGACGCTCCCCACCCCCACACACCTCCCATGGGATGATTCATCCACCCCACCATCTCAGCATTCATGAGTCACCCGGTACCTTGAGGTACGTAGAAAAAAAAAATATATAAAGCTATGTCTATATCTGAATCGTCGAATCGATTCAGAGAGATTAAAGGGTCTCCGGATTCGATTCAGATTTGGAGATTCGGCTACCGAATCAAGTCAGCGATTGATGTTTCGCACAGCCCTAATTAGAATCCTGACCTGATCTGTTGATTTCAAAAAGTGGCAAAGTAACCCTCTGATTTCAGCAACAAGAACCTGGGAGGATACACATACAAACTACTGGGGACAAGTTCCATGAGTTCCTTCAGTAACAGTACAGAAGAGGGAAAATTTCCTGTCCCCCAGCCACAGGACCCAAATATTAAAGGAAGGATGAAGCTGGGGAAATAAAGTTTAATTTTAATAAGATAAACTGTTTTCCTAATAGCATTGTTTCAGCTTAGTTTTTAAGAAGGTTTACAAAAGGGGACAAATGAGATTAAGTTAAAAAAACCTCATCAGTGCATGATATATTGCAGCAGTCATCATGTTCTTCACCTAGTTCTTAGACCAAGAAAAATGTTCTGGTAAGTTTTAGAATTAACCCATTTACTTTCCATATTAAATTATTCTCCTAGAAACTTTGTCCATTAAATTAAATTTTCCCAGGCAGAGGCATGCTACAGCAGAACAACGACTATTTGAAGTAGATCAGATTAAGTAAAGAAATGTGCAGAACATTTCAGCGTAAAGAACTATAAGAATTCAGTTAGAAAACAGAGTACTACAATCAGACGCAAAAGTAGCAGGACAGGAGAACAGATACATGACAAAAATAGCCAAATTCTTAAGAGTTCATAACAAAGAGAGCCTGACCCCTTTGTTTTCTGGAAGAAATGTTTCATTAACCTAGAATTAAATTGAGTTTATAGTTGCAATTGAGTGTTTCTATTCTAACCTGAATATCAGCTGAAGAAAACAGGCCATACCAAGATTTTAAGCTCTTACACAGAAGAGAATTCTGTGTACAGTAAAGGAATGAGCGAGTAGCACAGAGCTGCTTTTAGTTTGTTTCATCTCTTAGCTTCTTCCCCAGGGCCTATAAGGAGCCTTTCCCAGTAACTGCAACAACAAACTAAAAGTAAAACTCAAGAGGCAGATAAAGCAGGACTCCAATGTTTTCTTTACTTTCTCCTGTTACATTCTGTAAAGATCTTTTTTTCCCTCCCTTGTCAAAGTTCTCTACTGAATTGCTCTTAATGCCATCCATTGTTATTTTCTATATATGCACTCATACTTCTCTATAAATAATATATTCCCAATTGATAAAGACTGATCCAAAAATGGCATAAGGGAGATGCTTAGATGAGCAGTCAAAGACTTAGGTTTCCAGCAGGTAGGAACAAAATTCAGGGTATAGTCCCTAGATCTCATTTCAACTATTTACAGTGTAGGAACAGCTTTTTGGCGGGGTTACTACTCCTTTACTCCATCTTCATTTGAAACTTCCTCAACCAAGAACTCCATTACCAAGTTCTACTTCTACTCAGTACTTTCCCAAACTGCTGCAAAGCAAGATCCCTCTGATACTCTGAAGCTCAGTAGCAAAGTACAAAACTGTCTCACACTGGTCATTTTTCACTCTATAGCAGCAACTTAAGATGCCAAACACAACATTATTACTATCAGATAGAAATGCTTAGTTTAAAAATAGAAAAATCGAGAAACTGCTGAAGTGGGTAGACCAATACCACCACACTGAAAGTTGAAAACTACAGTTGAGAACTCTTACTTGTTACAGCAAGTAGATACTGACAGTGTAGACATTATTATACGAGTAATTAAATGATTAGCAATACAAGTTTAAATGTTTAAAGTAACTAACAAATTCACAAATAGTTACAGTTTCTAAATTGCACATTACTCTGGCTTGGCATAGGATTCCCTGCTCCTCCCCTTACATTCTTCCCTTGAAAAGCTAGGAATGAAATATTAACATGTAAATTGCATGTACAATCAGTAGCAGCCTTTAAAATCTCAAACTACCTGCTAAGATCAGACAGACATGGTAATTGAATGTTTCTTTCAACATCTTAACTTCCAATAATTAGTAGTTAAGATGGACAGAGGGATGAATAAAAGATGTAAAACCAAAGTGTAAACAGGCCCTCAGTGGGTGCATCTACATGTGCAGTTACCCCCAACACAATAAAATGTGGTCCAGTTCGTGCCAGAGTCAGCTATTCCCAAGCACACTATTTACATGTGTGCCTGAGACAGCAGCAATTCGAGATGGGGCGCAGCAGCTTCAGGCTGGGGGGGGGGGGGCAGGAAGGGTTAGCCCTGGCCTCTGGGTGGCAGCCCTGGCGGGGGGGGGGGGGGGAAGGTTTCCCCCTGCCCTCTGGGGGGGGGCCCGGGGCGGGGGGGGGGGGGGGAAGGTTTCCCCCTGCCCTCTGGGGGGGGGCCCGGGGCGGGGGGGGGGGGGGGAAGGTTTCCCCCTGCCCTCTGGGGGGGGGCCCGGGGCGGGGGGGGGGGGGGGAAGGTTTCCCCCTGCCCTCTGGGGGGGGGCCCGGGGCGGGGGGGGGGGGGGGAAGTTGACCCCCGCCCCTTGGGGGGGGCCCCTGGGGGGGGGGGGGCAGGAAGGGTTAGCCCTGGCCTCTGAGTGGCAGCACTGGCAGTGGAGGGGCTGGGTGGGGCACAAGGATGCTATAGTGTGGGGCAAGCTGGCCGGCAGGCTCTGCACTGTAGCACCCTTGTGCCTCTGCCAGCCCCAGTCACTGTCTACACATGTTGCAATAGCGTGAGTTACCCCACCATAGGACTGTACTCATCCTGGATAGTAATACTCTACAGCAGAGGTGGTTAATTTACTGTGCCCTAATATGGGCACAAGTGGATGGTGATGTTTTACTGCAGAGCTAATTGGTCAACTCCACAGTAAGTTGCACATGTAGATACACCCAGAGAGAGAAACTGGATCAAAAATACCTCTTCATACAACTAGTAAGTTGTTCACTCACCTTTGACCAAATAAGAGTGTAGATTTAGTTTCAGATTCATTGTATGATGACGGAGAGCAGCAAATTACAATAGTGGTTCTACAGTTACCACCCAATGAATCCTGAAGGATTCTGGTCATTTTACTATCACGGTATGGAACATAAGTCTGCAAAAAAAAAAAAGACAGAAAGAAAAACCACCCAACCAAAAAACATGGATTAGTTTGAAGCTTTCCCAACACTCTAGTCCACTGGATAAAGATGCACACTTTATTGCACTGAAGACCACCACATTAAGAAGGATAATTAAAATAAGTTGTGTCCAGGGTCTTAAACTACAAGGTAAAATTTCTTGCATAAGTGTTATCTCTTAGGTTTTGAAGTTTATGATATCAGTTTATGCTTTCAGCAAGATATTTTACAGTCTTTTAAAGCTACAGATGCTTATTTATAAGCCCCATCCCAACAGAAACAACTACCGTTAGTAGTGGATTCAAAATGCAGCTAAGACTTTCAAAGCAATGTAAGAGATTTGGCTACATAGGAAGTTTTAAGAGATGTGCAGCTAAATCCCCTAGCTGCTTTGAATCTCTGCCAAAGACTCTCCTATATTTCTCCCCCTGCCATAACAGGTAGCCCCCAGTCCGGTTTTTCTAAAAACTTCAAAACATACTTACACTACTTTCAGCTAAAGCAGAGATGACATTTCCAAGAGCTGAGAGAGACTTGTTGATGTTCTTAGCTTCATCCAGCACAGCACCTTCTGCTCCAGTTTTACTAACCTACAAGATTCAGTCAGTCAGTAAAAGTAAGAAACATAATTTACAAAGTACCTTTTCAAGTCTTAGCTTTCAGTAAACATGGCTAAGGCAGTCTGCTCCATTTAAGCCCAGTTTTAAATCATAGGTCCACCCACTATTAGGTTCAGTAGGAAAATGGGTTCTTTACCCCCATCCCAAGAGGGTGAGGGTTGGAATCAAGTTTCCATTAGAGAGATCTCTTAAAACTGAAGCTTTTGGCTTTTTCAATAGAGAAATTCTCATAGCTAATAAGCACTTTCAGCAGATTTTATTTAGGTGCAAACTAGACCATCTGCCAGACTGTTTTGGTGGAGTAGCTCAGCACTATTCGCTTGCTAATTAAATTTTTTTTTAAATGAAGCAATTCAAAGTTATGCAACTCAGTCAAAATATTAACATGGGAAACTAAGATTATGAGACAATGAAAGCCAGGTTTAGCAAGTGCCAGGAATCACTCACACGTTCCGTAGGCAGAAAAATCTACCAGTGAAGACTGCCTTACAGAGTACTGCTCACATTTTTGGCCCTACAGACCCCAAGCACTTGGCCAGGATCAGGCCATGGAGGCCCCTGTGCCAGGATGAGATTCTATCTAATAGGCAAGGTGGCTTCACACAGGGCTCCCCACTAGATCTGTAGAGCCCTATGGGCCAGATTAAAACAGTTCCAGTGACTGGATCTGACCAGGGGGTTAAGCACTCTTGCTTTAAGGCTATAAACAGTATGGAAAAGCTGGAAGAAGAGGGAGATTTGACAGTTCCCATACTCAATGTTTTCCATCAGTCCTAGAACGCCTGCCTCAAAGGCCAGGCTTTCTCTACTGTTTTACAGTTTAATTAGCACCCTACAATCCTTCCTATTATCTTAACATGCACTGAATTTTCCACTATTGTAACAATTGTGCTTTTAGATTTTTTACACTTTGCATTAATAAAGCAAGCAAAAAAGCACGTGAATTATAGAAGATTAGGGAAAGGCAACAGGTAGAATGGAAACTGGATACCTGAAATAGGCAAGTAGTAACCAGCCTCAACAGTAAAAAGGATCATGACCAAAGCTCATTTGAGTTTATTCCTTCAACTCTATTTCCATAATCCCCTAGTCAACTTGTAGACTAACATATTAAGGTTTATAAATGGAACAAGTAATAAGACCAGTGCCTCTTTTATGGTCCTGAAGAGGCCAAGGAAGAGACACACAGCTGAATATGCCAAAGAAGGTTAGAGGTTAAGGATGAATGTAGCCCTAGGAGGAGTGTGCGCAAAGGAATACAGTAATGCCAAAAATCTGTAGCAGAAGCAGACTATAGGGAAATGAGCAGTACTATACAAACAGAAGTACACAGAAGAAGTAATTATACATTTTTCTGTTTGCAAAGCACTCACTAGAGACTCAACAAAATGAGCACATATATGAAGAACAGACTCAAAGCTAAAATCATGCAGGTCGAAACAAACTTGCAGCACTTCTTGGGAATTAATCCTATGATCTGCATGTTCAGAGGAAGTAATATTTGTATGACAAAAACCTTTAAGTAAATCAGATTTTTTTTAATTCCTTTCATTTTTAGAATACATGGAAAAATGTTACCTTTTCACTACCTGCCAAGTCCACAAGATAGAGTTTTCCACTCAGCTTCTGTTCTGTTTGAGTATTTTCTTGCTTCACATTAATAAGAAAGATACTATGACTTCGAGAACTGTGTTCATTCATGTCTATAATGACAACATATTAAATGATTGTCCAAATGCCTGTCATGTTGGGACAGATGTTACACAATTATTTTAATTTAACTCTATTTGTATATTCAGAACAATGTTATCTTTTCATTGTGAACAAAATACACCTAGGGATAGTGAAATAGGAGAGTCAATTAATACAATATTTTTAAACTAAAACAGACAAAAACAGTAGTACTGTCTTATTCAGTACTTAAAACCACATTTTTCTCCACATGTTGATTAATGCAACTTGAGTACATTGATAAAGTTTGCTAGTTTCTATCCTCTGGCTTGGTTTCAAATTTTTACATTTTATTTACTTAGAAACAATAGTCAAAATTCTTGTGACAAATGTCCTATGACATCAGTGCATGTTGTTCTTCCTTTGCCAAAAAAGCCATGATCAATGAAAGAGGTTTTAGGCAATTTCACAAAATTACTTTACATTCATTATTATATGTATATTTATTAAATATATAAATATTATGACGTTCATAAATTGCATTAATTTACAGTGCAGGTGACATGAAGTATCTTAGCTTCACAAGATTCTAAGTGACTGAAATAAATTCAAGTTCAGTAACAGAACTCTAAGCTGATTTGTAGGCTGAGCAATGAACAGCCCCTTATTTCTCCAGCTCTGCAACAGGCAGAACCAAGCCCAAGTCTGTCACTACCCTTAAAAGATCCAACTGTAAACAGATGCAGGAGAGGCAAAGAAAGTGCAAACAGAAGGAATATGTTTTTGTTTCTTTTCTGTTCCTTTGCTTCTAGGGCTGGCAAGCTCTGGCTTCCACACCTTGCTGACACCAAAATAAGGTAATAAGAGTTTGGCTTGTCCATCCACAACATACTTTTGTGGCAAAGGGAGATGATGCAGACTTTGCACAATATTTTATTCAGGAGTGCATTGCTTATCCTTCTGTTAATAAAATAAGTGAGGCAGAAGAACAGGGGAATTCCCCAAAAGCTATATATTCCTAGTTTTGCTAGGGATGAAGAGAGCCTCACTCCATCCTCTCAGCCAAATGATGTCAATGTTATCAACTGTCCTCTCTCCTACCTAGCATATTTTTGTTTGTTTCCTCCTGTTCTATTATCTCTTTCTAGTGACACATGGAGGTCAGCCACTAAGCCAAGTTATTATATTTCATTTTTACATCAATAGAGCACCAGAGAAGGAACACTTACTTGTAACTGCTACATGTCTGTTAGATTTTCCTTCATCTATGGTATCCATAACTTCTTCTGGACTACATACAAAACGCTCTGTGCAACCCTTTAAAAATTGACATAACAGAGGTAAGTGATATACATTAAAGAAAAGGTAGGTCAGCTCAAAGCATCAGGTTTATACTCACCTTCACATAAGGAACTCTGTTTTTGTCCTCGTGAACAGAAAGATTGGTCTTCGAAACTGAAAGAAAAACGTTCTGTAGCTAAAATATTTATTGATTTGTTCAGGGCAGCATCTTGGAAATTTGACAGTTTACAGTACCCATCTGGAAGGCTACAGGTCATTTCACTTGGTATCTACCTCAATAAACATATTCATCTCTATAAACACGTTTAAAAGCATTTAAGCAGCTCTCTCTGTGTAAACAAATAAATTATATATGGAAAAAATTGGTTACTTAAATCTGCAATGATGAAGTTAGAATTAAAGAAACCAAACATTAAAATACTTCACTTACACAGTTTACCATTAATATAGTATGTAACTATTCTATTCTTACAGCAAAATTTCTCTGCAGATCAAATTACCAATCACACTCTAAAAAAAAGGAGACACTTACCATCCAAAAGGTCCCTTATCTTATCCAAGTATATTTCAAAATATGACACCTAACAAAAGAGATAAAGCATTAGATTAACAGATGCTAAATCCAGAAAGGGCCACTTCTACTATTTAGTTCAGGGCTAGGCAATTATTAGTGCTGAAGGGCCACTTATGAGTTTTGGTGAGCTGCTGAGGGCCATACATGCAAGCCCCCTGCAGCCAGGTCAAGGCTGGTGCCAGAGAAGCAGCAGAAGTGGAAGCAAGAGCCTGGCTTGGCCGAGGTTGTAGCATCTTTTCTCCACTCCTCCACTCCACACTGCCTGGCTTGGCAGACACCAGCAGAGAGCAACAAGGCTGAGAGCTACACTGTGCCAGGGGTGGGACCATGGTACTCACAGCCCCATGAAGCTGGGGAGATGGGTGGGAAAGGAATGCCCTGGTCTTAGGGGCCCCCCCCCCCCACCTGCTGCAGACCCCAGCTGGGAGGGGGCTCAGGGTGAGGGCCTTCTCTGCTGGGTGCTGTCCCCCCTGGTGCAAAGTGTTGGGTGGGCTCTGGCCTCTGCTGGTAGTGGGGGACGCTGGGCAGAAGCAGCCCCACCCAACCACCCTGTCCCACAGGGTCAAACTCCATCTGCTGCGCAGTGCTGGATGGGCAGGCAAGCAGGGCTGCTTTTGCCCAGCATCCCCCACCATGCCAACAGAGGCCAGAGTTGGAGCCACTGGCCCTGGCCTCTGCTGGTGCCACAGGCCAGACCGAATTAACTGGCAGGCGACATATGGCCCATGGAACATATTTTGCCCACCCCGATCCAATCTGATGATTTCTTGCATAACACAAGATCTAACTCACAACACAGTGCTTGAATTCAACTGTATCATCTTTTAGAAAGACAAAAACTTCTGATTAAAAAGCCAGGAATTTACCACCATAAGAACTAGTTACCAAGGAATCCTTAATGTTAACACATTTGCCCCCTTTTTTCCACTAAATGCCCTTATTTAGGATCAAAATGTTCTTGTCATATTTTCATTCTCTGGGTAAGTTTGTCTTTGCAAGTATACAGGCTTTTCAAATTAAATGGATGCACTCTATACGTAAAGCATACCTATTTAATCATAAATTATTTTAAAAGAAAGATGCAACTCTTGATCTAAGTAAGGTAGTAATGAAACAGAACTTACCTTAATATGGAACTCCAAGTTTTCATCCATGGAGTAAATATAATTAAAAATATCTTGCACTATTCTTGGAATTATCCCCATCCCATCTGGATCATGAAGTTTTCCCTTATTGGAAAAAACAAAACCACAACTAAATACAGTATCCTCTAACAGACAGAATTCCATGAATACAGATTTCGTATTTAAATAAACAAAAACTCAGTGTAATACTGGTGTGCTGACTAGCACATCTTTAGCATCTTGCTAATTTAGGCCCAAGATTTGTTGGGGCAAGGACAGGAGGAAGAGAGAGAAGACCTCGTATATTTCTCAAACTGAGATTAAAATGCTTCTATTAGTGGAATACTATTTTTGGTGCTGCTGGAGCCAAATAAAAGGCCCATACATTAGCTAATGATATTCCCAACCTCATGCTCATAATACTGCCTAAAAAATTACATTAACAAAAGCAAAGCAAGAAGATTTGTGGGGCAACAATGTCAGATGAAGAGAGATGAGGTATTATTTCTAAGTGGAAAAACTATGGGGAAGAAAAAAGATAGGAAAGAAATAAAAACAAATCATCTCCTCCCAACTTTTAAAAGATGAGAGCCCTTTTAAGACTCCTTACCTCCATAGTGTGCGTTTTTCCAGATGATGTCTGCCCATAAGCAAATATTGTACCATTGTATCCTTCAAGTACATCTAAGGAAGAAAGCATTATTCATTACAGTTCAAATAAGTGGGAAATATTTAGAGAAGCAGTGTACAAAATAACTGGCTAACCAAAGGATTTTAACTCACATTTTTAATCCACACTTTTACTTCTTATGTTATTGATTCGTTCAATGAATTCTAACAGATAACTAAAAGTAAGATCCTGTTTAAGAAAAACTCGGCTGTTTAGACCTTGAAATATTCTTGATTATATAATTCTGTTTTACAGCTCTAATGTTAAGTGACTGCAATGAGTGGCTAGAGAGCCTGTACATTAAGAAGCACAAGAAATAAAGAATATATTTGACTAAATGTTTCATTAAGCAGCTAATATTACAGTAAAATCTTCGTAAGATGTATTTTATATAAACTTAGAAGAGCTCTGTTCACATGCACATTTCTTAATGATTTGTACTGAAATCAGCTTACTGGGACTAGTAAAAGTATTTTACTCAGGCTGGTCTATTCCTATCCCACATTTTAACCCTTTTGATTTCAGCTCAGTTGTGAAGCTTTACCAGCATTTTAATTTAAGCCATTTTTCCTATTAAAAAATCTTTCAGATAGAGACCTAGCTCAGATCATTTCAACTATAAGTGAACATCCACTTGCTTTTAAGCAAGTGAAAACAGGCTTTGGAGTGAAAACAAATCAGCTAGCAACGGTAGCCACACCTGCTACAGATTTTGGGAGGGGGGGAAAAAAAAAAAGTGGGAAGAGAAGAGACTGGCATCATTCTTTTTCACCTACTTAGTACCTTATTGCGGGTAATGTTTCCATACTGTACATGTTTTCCTCACCTTTGACAATCTTTTTAGCACAGTCATTATAAACTTGTTCCTGCGTTGTGCTCGACTGGAATACACGGTCAAATACATAAGGCTTGGACTGAAAAGACACAGAAATTAGGGTAAGAAATTCTAGTTCTAAAATGGGCTTATTTTAAGAGAACCTGACCATGTATGAACGAAGCCTTGAACTAAACATATTTCCCCCCCACTCTTTGGAGAGTTGAGGGAGAAAAATTGTCCACTGTACAAAAGAAACATGGTACAACCAGCCATTTTCTCCATTTTTCTCTAGCAGTTGAAGTAAAAGGGAATATTCACAACTACAGTCTGTGCCGCAGGCCAACTCCAAATCATGGATCACATTTGTTTACTATGTCCAATTAAAAAAAAAAAATTACAAGAGAGTAAGTAGTAAATATTCACCTTACTTGATCATATTGCTTATTACCACTTTTCATACAATGGCTATAAAATGTCCAGGAACGTTCTCTGAACAAAGTTTGTGATGCAATGTCAAACCTTATATCTCCTTTTGTTTAGAGGAGATTCAAGCTCCCTTCAAATTATTCTTCCACTTCCTTAAATCAAAAAAAAAAATGTTGGGAGAATACTGTTTTAACACCTTATCAACAAAATAAAGCTAATTTGGAGGGTCCACATACAGGGGTTAAGTAAGGGGTGCCCTTGATCTAGAAACATCTAATTTTGCAGTAATCTACAGCTATTCTTTGATGGTTACCAAGAAATAAATTGTTCTCTTTCATGTAAGTTTTCCATGTGCCTAAACTCTACTTCCAATATAATGTGTGGCAATTACTTTTTAGCATCTTGTTTCCACTAAGGGGAAAATGAAAACAAATTATGAAGAGAAAAAAAAAAAAAGCTTAAATTGTATATAGAAAATATGGATCCTTCATTATAGTATTAGACAATATTGCTGACCTTGTGAACAAACTGACATCTCCTTTTAATTTCATGCCCAATTAAAAATTTTTTAAACAGTAGATCTATGTATTTGATTTGAGTGCCTGCAGTATGTTTTAGCTGATACACAAGTTTATTCACCCAGATTAAACTATACTCTATATACACACACCTTAGAACAGGGGTGGGCAAAATACAGGCTGCAGGCCGGATCCAGCCTGCCAACTTATTCAATCTGATCCACAAGCAGGCACTAGCTAACTGACTGCGTCTGGCCCAGCTACCACCCAAGCTCCATTCAGTGTTGAGCCCTGCCTGCTCCCACTCACACCCAGACAGCAGTGCCCTGGCCCTGGCCAGTACGCAGTTTTCTGGTGGGGCTGCTGCCACAGACACCCAGGCTCCCTCCGCCTCCGGTAGAAGATGATCCTCCTCCTGCGACACTCCAGGCAGCAGGTAACACAAGGAGGCCATGGTCAAGCATGTTAGGCACCACATGACCAGCCAGGCAGAGGGAAGCTTCAGCCAGGCAGCTCCTGCCCCAGCACATGGGGACTCCAGTTCCAGGCCACTATCCACCCACACAGCCACCCGCAAATGGCTGCTCATCATGCCAAGGGTTGGAGCAGGTGGAAGGCAGCCAGAAGCTGGAGCCCCACATGCTGGGGCAGGATCCAACAAGCTGCAGATTCCCCCCAGCCTGGCTGGGCATATGGTGCATGTACCCACAGCCGCTGCCTCTTCCATGTGCTACAACCTGCCTGGAAAAGCACATTGGGGCAGAAAGGTTAGGAGAAGCTGCCACTGGAAGTGGTGGGAGGCGAGCAACGCCCAGGGTGGCTGCAGCAGTCCTGCCACAAAGTTATGCATGGTGGCCACGGTTGCGGCTGAGTTGTGCTGTCTGGAGGGCATAGGGCAGGTGCAGAAAGGGATTAGCCCCATGCAGAGTGCTGCAGGGGCAGCTGCAGGCCAGAAGTAGGGAGGAGGGGGCAGAATGCACCAAGCAAGCTGTGCTGCATATGTCCTCTACCTCCCCTTCATCTCTAGCTGGTTCCCAGGACCTGGCACATGGGCAGCCATCACCACATACACCGCCACCACTTACACCACACACAATGCAAGAATAAGACTTTATTTTGAGCTATTATGCAATCCCCTCTTATACATTATTCAAAAAAATATATAAATCAGGATAATAATTATTTTTTGAAATAAAATTAAAATGTGTTATAGTAGGTTTGATTTTTTTGTATTTCCCCTGTAATTTGTTAAAATTGTATCTTCTGAAAGATTGTGTGCACACAGCCATTGACAGCTCACCAAAGCTCATTACGTGGTCATCCAGCTGAAACACCCCTGCCTTAAAAGCATGTTATCAGAATCATATTTTAACATTCTTCCCTGTATTGAAAGGTATACATATATTTCTATACACTACAATTTGAATAAGAGTATTGTTATCTTTACTCTACTTAAAATCATGCCTAGATATTTGGTACCTTAAGAAGTAACTTTTAAGTTGCCATTAAGATGCATTATGCAAGGGCAGAACTAATTTAAAAAAAAAAAAAAGCAAATGAACCAAACAATCTATCACATTTACTTTGGCACTATTCAGTTAGATTGATTACCATACATACTATTTTTTCTTAAATGTTACAGCTCAGGTAGAGCACGAAATTATTTTAGAGTCAAGTCCTTACATATTTTATACAAATGCCCTTCACTGAACTGATCTTATTTTTTATGCATAAAGTGAAAGATCCAAGGACCCATGACAAATTCCAGTTACCCACAGATGACAATTCCTCACATCTTATTTTATATTCTCCACTGCATTTCCCTTTCCTCTACTCCCAACCTCCCCATCTCTATAACAGCCATAGAGAAAAAGTGGTGTTTGGGCACATACCATGAGCACTGGACTATTACAAGTTAGGCTAAGAGATTAGATCTCAAAACGCTAAGCATTCTTGATGGCCTTACATATTGACCAAGACATCTGTTAGTCATTAACTGAAGTCACAAACACTGAACTTCAAAAATTTAAGGGGGAGAAGGGAAAAGAAGGATGGACCAATTTGTTTGTAGACTATTTTAAAAATATATATTTTGAGATAGTAAGTCATTCGCATCGAATCAGGTTCAGTTTCCTAAGAATTTGCCATATCAATTCAACTAGAGATCCAGTTGAGAGGCCTAATTTACAGAGGAAAGAAAAACAGATTTCTAATGTAAATGAACAACAGAAATCTTTCTGCACTTACAAACTATGAAATGCAATCCTACTGTTCTGTTTTCATATCACCACAAAAAAAGAGAGTCCTAAGGTCATATTGATACCATGGGACTGTTTTGCACCCATTTGTTCTATCCAACGCCTTTTCTAAATCAATGGACTAAGCTTTGAGGGGCAAGGAACAGAAACACCTCTTGTGCTTTACTGGGAACATTGCAAACCACCTAAGGGACAAAAAGCAAGCTGTACTGTCACCCTCCATAAAATTCCACCTTTTTGATATATCAACAGCCCTTTGAGCCATTGTATATATAAGAATTATTTTTAAAGCCTTACCCAAATCTTAGCAAAAACAACATTGCAAATTGATGCAGTAGACAATGCATAGGAACAGACACGGTATGTAGCTTCCATTCTTCCCAGAGCCCAAAGACCCTTGGTTAAAACACCCATCTTCATTTCTTTTTTAGTACTTGCCTGGCTCACCACCTTGAGCATATTTAGCTATCTTTCTGCCCTGCCTGTTTCCAGGACTTTCTTTGGGACTCTTTTTGGCCCAAATCAACATTCCCACCCCAGGTTGAGACCAACTGTATTGGCCTCTCTTATATTCAACCGTAAATTTTCCTGAATTAAAATGAAGGGTTTACATCTACATGGTGTTTCACAGGTATCTTAAAAATTCACTGCCTTGTTAGGTGTCTTGGGAAAACCAGTTTCACCCTTTGTTTACAAAAACATCCAAATGATTCAAAGTGTATAAACCTGCTCTTTACAGAAGTCAGTTAACATGTATCCTCTCAGTACCTTCTCCATGAAAGGCACCAAAGACTGTCTTATTAAAACCAATTAATTCTAACTTAAGGTTTACTTTTCATACTTCTGAGGTTGACTCTATAAAATGGTATTTTGAGTAGTTACTTCTATTGCATTCTAACTTTAAAAAACTGGAGTATACTCCATAAGTGCAGTGCTCATCCCTAAGTTTGCCATGGATCACATGCAGTTTTTTGGTCACTGAAACCTAGAGAAGCCTTTGTATTATTCATATTATTTAAATTAAGCTAAGCAGTCTAAATCCTCTCTCTTACTGTGTGGTTGGGCAGGTGTGTGTGGGTGTAAAAACACTTGTTTTATTGTAAGACAGTCCTTCTAATAAGGTAATGCAGGGCTGTCCCACTTCCAGGAACCTGTGGAGCACAGACCACATGACCTGCAAACCCAGGGGATAACTCCCAACCAGGGATAGTCAGGCACCCCCTCCAGGTGAACAGGTCAGGTCTCAGCCCCAGTCATACATACTTCAGGGACAGTCCATCTACCCCCTCCCCAACTCACATACACACTATGCATGCTGCACCCCCATCTTCCTGGCCATAAACATCCAGTGTGCACTGCAATTGGTTATTTCATGGTATGAGGCAAGCAAAACAATTTAGAAAAGGCTGAGATATTAAACAATAGCTTTTCTTCTAATGTATGGCAGTCTACTTTAAAACCATTGCTCTCACCAATACTGGTCATAAAATACATAAAAATAAAAAGCATTAGGTATAAGTGGAGTGATTCTGGCAAAACTTATTCCTATTATTAATTTATTTGACAACATAGTTTCAAACCCTAGCTTTTTTTCCCGCTTCCAAGCCAAGATATCACTCTGGCAGTCAGTGACAAACTTAAAAGCAGCATCAAGACAGACACCAGAGTCCCAAACTAACCTTCTGCTTTGGAAGTAGCCATTTTCTTTAGTGCACAGTTCCTTGTGTGTGGGTATATTAAAGAAGCAATATACAAATGACTAAATGATTTCTTGAAACTAGGAGAGGTAGAAGGCAGGCAAAAGCTTTCCTAAAATGCTATCAGCTGAAGTGAGCTGTTACTTATGAAAGCATATGCCCCTCTGAATCAGTCTATAAAAAAGTGTGACTCTGCCC